CTTTCTTTTCAGGCGTGGCTTTAAGATGCAACCATAATGTTCATCATGCTTTTGATGGCAACAGAGTTTTCAGCTGCTCAAAAGAGCAACTTGTTTCTCTGCTGCTCCAAGATGTTTTTGTGTATGTGTGTGGTTTTTTTTCTTTTTTCCAAGAAGCTTGTTTTGGATATGTTTCCTGTCGAAGAAGTTATTCTTAATGACTGTAATGTTGTGAAGAAATCTGACATGAAGAAAATCTCATCAGGGGTGAATGCACTGCAGCAGGGCACAGAGGGCAGCTGCTCACAGAGCCCTGCTGCCTTCGTTTGTTGTGTTTGGGAGAGCAGCTGCTAGCTCTTAGCACCCTGGAGGGTGAATCTGGGTGTCAGACCGCCCTCACTGCAAGTGAGCCAGACACACTTTGCTGTAGTACGGATGTGGGGTTCTGGGAGTTGCTACCCAGACATGGGGGCAATTTCCAAATAACAAATAGATCCAGCTTATGTTTCAGTGAAGCTCAGAAAGGCAGCCCCTTGCTATCAGTAATGGTCATGATACAAAATACTGCCTTACCACAGTCTTCTGTTCACTGTTTGTCCTTGTGCCTCTGATGGCCTAAGCTGATTAACCTGAGACTTGGATGAAAAAAAAATATCGTGTCCTGGACTTTTTCAGGGGCACTAGATGACTGTTTTAAAGGAGAGGCCAGAGGCTGTCTTCAGAACATATCTTTCAGATTCAAAAACTGAGAGGAAATAGCCAGGGAAAGCAAAAGCCCCTTATTTCATGTGAAACCTACCAAAATGGTGGCTGGTTAGAGAGAGGTGACGTTGCATGTCACTCTGCATCCCTGGAGGACCTCTGGGCTGGCTCTGGTTTCCACTCATTCTGTCCAGGTATTCATCAGGGCTTTCAACTTGTCTTCCCATGACCTTTCTACTTTCAGGACTTTGGCACTGAATTTTCTTACCCATTAGTAACACCCTTTGCTAATCTATTCCTATGGTTTATTTAAATGAAAGGAAAGAGTGCACAGAAAAGAAAAAGAAGGTATGAAAAACTATTGTTTCTGTGGTAGGAAGGCAGTTGATATTCTCTGACAGCTTTCTCTCAGACACAGACATATTTTTTTTTTTTAACTAATCCCTGACCAGCCCTGTGAGGATGGTGTTACTGATGCTTTCGGACCTGAGAGGACAGTAGAATGACCTGCTGGACCCACATGCCTGGCAGTCACAGAAGGGGGGTGTCACCACTGTGTCCTGATGCATGGAGCAGCTCTGGTGTTTGTGGTGTGCTGCTTAGATGGAGGACTGACAACCTTTTCCATCTTTATTTTCTTTGTTTTGTATGCTTTTTCTATTTTTTCTTTTAGACAAAGCTTAGTGTCTCCCTCTGCTCTGCTTATTTCATTAGCTGTTATGTTGATTTCCAGTAAAAATGGTATGATCTAATGAAACTTCATCTTATTTTCCTTACCAAAAGAGAGGGAGGGAGGGAGGGAAGGAGGGAGGGAGGGAGGGAGGGAGAGAGAGAGAGAGAGAGAGAGAATATTATTACCATATTTCTCATTTGGTGGAACTGCATGAATCCCAAATGTCATTATTAGTCACTATAGCTTTCAAACAATCTGGACACATTTATTATTTTTACTATAATTTTATTCATTTGCATAGAATACATAGATGAATTAACCACATGGTAAATTTGATGGGAATTGGCTGTCTGGGTACTTGGTGGTGTCTGAAGAACAAACCTAGGTTTTTCTGTCTCAGACCAGCATTTTTCGGCTAATAATAATAGTGCTGTCTATATTCTATTAATCTTAACCTGAGTCTTGGCTATTTGCTTTTCATGCAACATTGCACTTAATCTTTTCAGTAATCCCATGAAGTAAGTATTATTACCATCTTTATTTTCCTAGTCAAAAAGCAAGCAAAGGTACTTATTTTTATGGCTCTATAGCAGAAGTTGGCAATGTCATTCTATGAAAACCAGAAGGTAAATATTTTAGGCTTTTGGGTATATACCATCTTGGTTACAGCTACTCTTCTCTGCTGTTGTAATGCTGAATAGGCCATAGAACATGCAAAAACAAATGGGTGGCTATGTTATAATAAACCTTTATTTATGGACACTGATATTTAAATTTCACACAATTTTCTGTGTAACAGATATTATCCTTCTGATTTTTTCAGTCATGTAGAAATAAAAACATTCTTCCCTTGTAGGTTGTACAAGATCACAAATAGTGGGCCAGCTTTTCCAGCCCCTGATCTAAATGAGGAGAGTGTGCAGGAAGGAGGAAGGAATTACAGTTAGGGTGATAGGAAGAACACTCAGGCCAGAGGGAATGTTACCAGAGTCCTAGGCCAGAGGTCCTATTCTGGGGTCCCAACAAATCAGCTCTGGCCACTTACCCAAACAAAACAAAACAAAATAAAACAAACAAACAAAAAAATAAACAATGGAAAAAGTAATGGTGAAAATCAGGAAAAAAGATATATTGGGAAGACAAGGAGATGAGAGTTTTTAGTCCTCTTTTTGGAAATACTAACATGAACTCCCAGATTTTTATACACATATATATATATATATATATATATATATATATATATATATATGAATGAATGAATGGTGGAGGTGGGGGGGCACTAGAAGTGTGCACAGTCAAGCAGTCTTGGTCTGACTGTGGTCAGGCCAATCATTATCTCAGGGTTGGTAAGGCAGGGTCTTATCTGTGATCAGAAAGTTGCTGTTTCCTGGGTGGTAGTTTTGACTTATCACAAGATGTTTATCATCAGACCTATTATTCCTGGAATCCAAGGTGACTGATTAAGCAATGAGACAGATGCAAGATGGAGGTAAAGATATCAAGTTTTTTTTTTTACATTTTCATGCCCAAGTGAAATAGAATTTTTAGCAAAGATAGCCTCTACATTCTCATTACAGGAATAGCCTATGTACAGGTGCCAGAAAACTTGAAGTATTTGAGAAACTGTAATAAAACATTATAATTTGATAAGATATGAAGTAGAATGGCTCAAGGTAAGAGGAGACTGACTGCAGGACCCATGTTATGACCATATAGGACATTTGAAGGATTTTGGACTTTGTTCAGAGGGCTATGGGAAGCCATTAAAAGTGGCAAATAAAAGATCAACAATGACAATTTATATTTTTAAAATATCATGTCACTTGCTGATGAGTGGAGAATGGATTCTAGGGATTGGTAAGAGTGGAAGCAGAAAAACTACTTAGTCCTCTTTTTGGAAATACTAACATGAACTCCCAGAGGCTGAGGAATGGGCCTAGTGGGCTATGATGGTGTCTATTAGTGGCTGTGACTATAGCACTTCCTGACAACAGGTGAGGAAAATGTGGCTAAGTGAGATTTGTCCAATGATGTAGCAAATGGAAGCAGAGTAAATATGAAGACCCTGGTCTTCCGGCTTTAAATTCTGTGTCTTTTCCTATATAGCATGGGATTGTTAATGCTTTCCTTTGCAGACTGTGTTTATCTTACTTCACCATTTATCTCTGAACTATATAGCTAAAGAGCTACTCCTTCTTCTCCCCCACAGTTCTCTGCTAGAGAAAGTGCCCTTAAATGAGGACAGTGCTTCTTAGGTTTGAGTTATTAATTTTCATTTCCTGAAGAAATTTATTTCATCATCGAGGGAAATAACCTCTTGTTCAAATATTTAAAAAGGCCAAAGATGAAACCATATTTTTTTGCTCATATTGAAAAGGCAACTGATTGCTTACCTAAAGTAAAGGTCAGCTTTCCTTGCAATTTGTATAACTTTCTTTCCCAAATGAGAGTTAGCACATTATTTTCTACCTTCAGAGGAGAGATTTGTTTGGCTGAGGCCTCAGAGTCATGCTCCAATTCCTGACAGTTATGCATCTTAGGACCAGGGCTCCCCATCCTTTGAACAATATGATGTTGAGTAGTTAGAATCTTTTTCTGTGGGTCCCAGGTCTGGGGTTGAAGAAGAAGAGATAAAGGAGAGACTCATACCTTGGGGCAAAAGGGTGGTGATGATTTTGCCTTAACTATCTTGGGGGTTGGACCCAAAGAAGATTTGGTGGATAACTCTGACCCATGGTGATCTCTTAAAGTGTGGGACACAGTGGTGGTTTAGTGAATCTTGGTTTGGGCTGTTATTTCATTCAGATGTTTACTTACATTACAGTTATTTGTCCATTTGTCCATTTCCCCATTGTAAATGAAGGTCTGTGTGTCCTGTTGTCTGTCTCAGGCATCTTTACCTTCCCCCCACAAGGTGTATTCTTGCACATGGTAGCTATTTAAATACAGTATTGGGATACAAGTAGTATTGATTTGTCACCTTGGGAGTCTTGGGCACACAGTTCAACATGCCTCAAAGAAGTCAGAATTTTCTTGCCCCAAATAATCACAGTTAACAATGAAGATACTGGGAGTGAACAATGAACAAGAAGGAGCTCTCCAATGGGGATCTTTTCCTATTGTGCAAATTTTGTTTTCCATTTCTCTTTTCTTTACTTTTCCATTCCATTTCATTAGGCTGTGCATCTTTGTTGTTGCAGAGTAGGCGCTCAGTACATACACACTGAGATATTTTATTTACAACACTGATTTTGCTTGTCCTCTGTAGACTCTTCACATACTCACACAGGCCTTGGGGGGGGGGGGGCTAAATTGTGAGCTCAGATTTTTATATACACTCTCCCTCCTTCCCCTTATTTCTACACACAGTTATTGAACATTAGTTGCATGCCAGTCAAGTTTATCAAAAAAAGATTTACTGTCTGATTTCAAGTATATTCTAGAATATTGAAGAGTTAAGAGGAAATATGTGCTCATGGTATGAGGTGTGGGCAGCCTGTGAAAACCTTTCCCTGACCAAGTGGATAGGAATTCTTTTAGCTTTTTACCCTTGAATTCCTGTGTGTGATCAAGAATAATTAGGATAACGTGCAGTCATGAGTGAATTAACGAGTTCTGCACTTGCCTTTCTCCATTTTTGCAGTGTGGAGATGTCTGTCCAGAGGTTAATTTCTAACAGAACCTCCCAGCAATCCGCATCTAATTCTGATTACACCTGGGAGTATGAGTATTATGAGATTGGACCGGTTTCCTTTGAAGGACTGAAGGCTCACAAATGTAAGTCTTATACAATTCCCCTTGTATGCATAATATATATTTGTCTTAACCTGTGAAATCCCCAGTGACTACCTTTCCTGAACATTTTTGTCTTGTGGAACTCTGTCTTCTACCTCTAAAACCCCACAAAATGCCCTTTCCACACATGGGGAATTGCTCAGAGATGGTATGATATGGGGGCCATGGAGATTCTGATTCATGAAGGACTTAGTTGGAGATAATATTCCCTTAGTTGGAGAATGTGAGTCAGTGTCAATGTCAGACTGAGGTTTTTTGCTTGCTTGTTTTGGAATTTTCTATGCCAACTCCCCCAAACTATGAATGTTTGAACTAACAAAAAATGTGTACAAAGGTAGAATCTGGAACTATTATTTGAAGAATTTTCTTTTGTAACAAATAGTCAGTGGCATCCTTTAAACCCAGTTGGTGTTCTGGATCTGTGGAGAAGAGTCTATATGTGTTCACAATGACAGGCAAGAATAGCCTGCCATCATTTCCAACTTGGTGCTACAGGCATGAGTTGTATTTCATGTTATTGCGGCAATTAATGATCCAGCTCAAAACAAGGAAAGATAATTCTGTGAAAAGCTACTATTCATCTCCCTTCATAACCAGTGCTGAGTAGCCAGCATGAAACATCCTGTTTTGCTAAGTAGAGTTGATATAATAGGCAGGAACTGCTGCCCACTTCCAGGTCCTGTTTGGAAGTTTCATCAATATCCCTGGGAGACTGAGTTGTTTCAAATTGAATATGCACAGCACTGCAAATATTTTAGGTTCTTAGCTGGTCCAGACTATTGTGAGACACTAGGAGATACAAGAGAGATCAGAATTAGAGACGCAAATGTAGCAAAGGAAATGCCTTCATTGCTCACTTATTTCTTGGCCACTTCCCCCTCTCACCAGTTTTGGCATTTGTGATCCTCACACCCATTTGCTATTCCCATTTAATGCAAGAAGGACTTTTAATCTTTCTTCCTTAAGCAAAAATCATTAACTAAATTTTATATCCATTTTCCCCTAGTAATAATTCAATATATTTCCTCATTTCTTTATTGGCATTTGCCCAGTATTTATGGGGGAGAATGGCAGACATTAATTATCTGATAATGACTCTTATGGTCTTGGTGTGAAATCACCCTCTAAGAGTCATGTAGATTCTTTAATCTGTTGTTTTTCTGGGATAACCTTTACATAAAGGACACTTACTTTTTAGGAATTATAGGGGAAATATAAATGACTGGGAAAACTGCTACATAGTTCCCTGTAATGTATACTTCTACCTGAACTTTATTTTTGTGTTTGCTCCTCTTTCTCTTAGTCCAAGGGGCACAGATGGGCAGGCCTGCTGCTATAATTTTGGTTGGCACATTTCCAGAGACAACTGAAAATCTTTTTTGAGAATAATCACTTCATCTAGAAATGTTTATAGCTTGAAAAACATTCTATAAAACATAGGCAGAGCTGTGACACATTACATGCTTACTTTACTAACTATACCGTTAATGAGGATTGTTTCTGTCTCAACATTCACATCATGAAAATACAAGAATGCCCAAATAAGTGCTTACTCTTCTGATATAACAGATCTGATTCAAGTAAAGGCTGCTAACAACAGAAACCTGAATGCATGAGACAGAGATAAGATTGGAAAATAAACCCTCCCCCCAGATATATAGGACCTGGAGAAGATTAAGTCAACTATTATAATGTTCATATGGCTATCGTTGCTTACCCTTTAAAAAGCTATGATTCTCACCTTCAAGCATGACACATTGTTTTGTTGAACAAAATATAAAACTAGTTAGGTGAAAAGATTAGAACGGGAACATTTCAAGGGGAAGCACTTTTTAAGGCTAAGAATGACCATACCAGTTATCTTCATTTCCTCTACCTATATTGTGCTCTGTAAATAGGCACATCTTTAGTTAGACTAAGTTCCTCTGCCTACTAAAATTAAGATTTATACTTTCAAAGGAAGTTTCTTCTGAGAAACAATCTCTAAAGGTCATTATGAAATTTCCTTTTGCCTTCAGGTTTTTTGTTGTTGTTTTTGTTGTTTGTTCTGTTTGTTTTGCAGTGCTGGGGATGGAACACCAGACCTTGTACATGCTAGGCAAGTGCTCGACCTCTGAGCTACACCCCTAGCCCAACTGCCCTGAGTTTTAAATTTGATGTTAAACCTTATGATGCATTGGAGATAGGCATGTATCTGACACACATTTGGTGTATCAACAAAGTGGAAATCTGTTCTTTAATCCCTTCAGCCCGTACTGAGCATCTTTTATATGTAGCTCCATTTTAAGCTCTGGGGATACAAGACAGAACTGAAAAGGGACAAAAATACCTCCTCTTACAGAGCTCCCAGTCTAGTGAGAGAGACATACAATAGATAACCTAAATAAACAAACTATATTGGATGGTGACAAAAGAGGGCAAATAGAATGGAGAAAGTGAAGTGAAGTGTGGAGGTAGATATAAGATAGTGTGGCCATGGAAGGTCCTAGTGAGAGGGAGAGAATTTAGAAAAGACCTGAAGGAAATGCAAGACTGAACTATGAAACATCCAAAGGAAAAACCTTCCAAAAAAAAGTCTCCATAGTCAGAATGAACTGGAATATGCAAGAAACAACAAGGAGGCCAGCAGGATGCTATGGCGAACATCAGGAGATGAGGGGGACCAGGGCATGGACCTTAGTGGTCATGCTAAGAACTTTGGCTTTTACTATGAGAAGTCATTTAAGGATCTGAAGCAGAGGAATGGCATCTGGCGTAGGTTTCAATAGGCTCACTCTGCAACTGGGGAATGAAAGGGACGAGATTAGAAGCAGAGAACAGTCAGGAGCTATTGCCATAGTCCAGACAGCTGGCAATGGTAACTTGACCAGAGTACAGGCAGTAGATTGGTGAGAAATGCACAAATTCTGGATGTTTTTAAAAGATAGATCTGATAGGATTTGTCAGTGGATTGCCAAAGAGTGTAAGAGAAAGAGTCAAGGATGCTGTAAAGATTTGTATCAGAGGAACTGGCAGGTTGGAATTGCCATTAACTGAGACAGGGGACAGTAAGGCAGATGCAGGTTTCAGAGAGCAACTTCAGGATTTGAGGTGTGGACCTGTTAAAATAAGACACTTCTAAGACATCAGGGAAAAATGTGAGGTAAAGGTGAAAATTTGGGAATCATCAGCATGAAAATGATATTCAAAGCCAAGAAACTGGGTGAGGGGGTTGTTAAGTAGATCGAAAACTGATGAGGGCTTGGCACGGTGGTACATGCCTGTCATCACAGGTGGGAGGCTGAGGCAAGAGGATTGTGAGTTCAAAGCCAGCTTCAGGAATTTAGCAAGGCCCTAAGCAACTCAATGAAACCCTGTCTCTAAATAAAATATAAAAAAGGTTGGGGATGTGGCTCAGTGGTTAAGGGCCCTGAGTTCAATCTTTGGTACCAAAAAAAAAAAAAAAAAAAAGAAAACTGATGAGGTTCAAGAGCTGTGCTCCAAGGTACACTAATGTTTAGAAATTGAAAAATTGAGAAAAAAGGAGCAAAGGAACCTGAGAAGAATGTATAGAAAGAGTAAGAAAACTGTGCAATTGTGGTTTTCTGGAAGCCAACTGAAGAAAGGGTTTTTCAGGGCTGAGATAATGGTCTCTGTCAAATGCTACCATTAGGTCGAGCTGGTGGAGGACTGAGGCACAGCCATTGGATTTACAATGTACAAGCTACTGGCAATGATTTTAAAAATAGTTTTAGTGGAATGGTAGGGATGAAAGTCTGATAGAATCAGTTCAAAAGAAAAATGAGAATAGAAGAATGAGAAACATTACAAAAATAGTACACCCAGACAAATCTCTCATGAGCTTGCTACAAAGAGAGGGAGAAAAACCGATTACTAATGAAAGGTTTGACTGGGAAAGACAGTGTATTCTTAGAGAGACAGAAGCAAAGCCTATGAACCAATGAGTAGAAACCTACGTTTTAGTGAATCTACTCTGCTAAAAAATTGAAACCATTGGAAATTCTATACTTTTTTCCATATTCCAACTTGCAGATAATGCCAGATACATGCATAAATGAGTCAGCAGGAAGTCAGGTCTTCAGGGTGAGATGCAGAGCCTCACTTGCAAATTTTATTTGTAGGATAAAATGTGTCATTGGGACAAATGTGAGCATGTCTCTGTTGGTTCCTTGCATGGAATTCATCACAAAACTGACCCTAACTCTTTAGGAACCAGAATTGTGTGAGGACAGTGCTAGCTTTGATGTTCTGAACCCCTTGTAGATAAAGTATATTAACACTTTTTATACAACCATGAAATAAAAAGATCATAATTTAGTCCTAGGGGGTGGGAAAAAGGGCACAGTGAAATAGGATGATTACTGTAGTCTTACCCTAGGGGGGAGAAAAAAAATCATATCAGCTTTCAGCTCTCTTGTTTCATTCCATTTGTTAAAGTTGAGGTTGAGAGGAGGTATTTTATTTTATTTATTTTTAATTTTTAATTAGTATATTATAATTATGCATAATAGTCGGATTCATTATGCCATATTTGTACATGCACATAATTTGATCACTCATTCTCTTTCCCTTTACCTCCTCTCTTTCTTCCCCCTCATCTGCTGCTCTACTTTACTGATCTTCCTTCTATGATGATGATGATGATGATGTTAAATGTATTATAATTATATGTACAAGTGGGATTCATTGTGATTAAGGGGAATTATTTTATTGTGACACATTCCATTTGGAATTTCCCTGGGCAGTTTGTTCTGCCCCCTTACTGTAATTAGTCTCCCAGTTGTGCGTAGACACCGCAATGTGTGGCGACTTGGCTTTGGTAGGACCCCTTAGAATGAACACTTCTTTTGACTTCCTTAGCCACCTGGCCTCATTGGAACCTCACTGCGGGTACACCTCTGTTCTGACTTCTTAACAGCAGCATGCTTTGTGGAAGACGAGCACCTCTGCCTGAAACTTGCCATTGAAATAGAGTGAGATAATTTGAATGTTCCTGGGATGAGATGAGGATCTCCAGTGTTCCCTGGAGATCCTAAGGAGCTCAGGGTGAGATAGTGCCCTGCACCTGATCATGTGGCAGAGAATGAGGTTGAGGGGAAATTAGTGGAAATAATTTGAAGAAGCAGAATTTTGTATGATATGGAATGTGAATAAGCAGAGCTACTTAAAGAATTCTATCTATCTAGGGAAACATGGATACCACATTATTATGAAAATATTTGCAAATGCTATTCCATTTCAGGAATTCACAAAATTTAACCATGCCCCTACTTTTCCCCACTCTGTAACCCGTAACTGCATCGCCTAACTTCTCTGAGGGCTGTGAGCCATCCTTGCCCCATGTTAGTGCTGCTTTTTCCTTCGTGGGATGCGGAGAGTATCAGGAATTGAACTCAGGGGCACTCAACCACTGAGCCACATTCCCAACTCTATTTTTTTATATTTTATTTAGAGATGGGGTCTCACTGAGTTTCTTAGTGCTTCGCTTTTGCTGAGGCTGACTTTGAACTTGTGATTCTCCTGACTCAGCCTCCCGAGGCGCTGGCAGTGCTGCTTTTTTTGATTGGTTCCTTGTGGCACAGAGAGAAGGGGTAGAAACTGGACCATGTTAAATGCACCTGATCCTCCACCTCTGCTTCCTGCTTGACTAGGGAAGTAGAGACCTGCTGGGGATTAGTGTACTATTCACAGTGTGAAATGGGGCACTAATAGGTATATCTTCTCAGTGACAGATTTGAAAAATATCAACCACCCAAACAAGACTAAATTATAAGTTGAGAACTTCAATATAACATTTTAGAATTATATAATTTTATAATTTTCTTTTTTCTTCACAGCAGTTGATAAAGTACACGGTATAGAAATGTTATCTGCACAATGCTTCTACATAGTCCAGGCCCAGAAAACTGAGATTTTATTGTTTCATGTACTGCCCTTGAGTACATGCAGTACATGTGTTTTTTGGTCCTTGTCCGGATGTCTTGTTCTACACCTCATTTCCACTATATTAAAAGGCAAAGTATAAAGACATTATTATTTGTATGGTACTTACATTTAAGACTCTAGGAATAATACATTAGTTTGCATCCAGAGTGCTGAATAAACATTGTTAACCTCTAGGCAGTAGACATGTAGTAGGAAAGTATGAATTATGCAGAGTAAATTGAGCTGTTTTTTTAACTTTAGAAGAAATGCTATATATGAATAATTTAATTAGAATAATTCATTTGTATTTTATCATTTAGCATAAAAGCTCTAATCATTTTTAAATGCTAATTATTCTTACTGTATTCCCACAAAAGTAATCTTCTTAGTATAGTTCAGAAAATTCAGAATGAACTGGACATGGTGGTGCATGCTTATAATCCCAGCTACTTGGGAAGTTGAGGCAAGAGTATCACGCGTTCAAAGCCAGCCTCAGCAACTTAGTGAGGCCCTAAGCAACTTAAGGAGACCCTCATTTCAAAATAAAAAATAAGGGGCTGGGGATGTGGCTCAAGCGGTAGCGCACTTGCCTGGCATGCGTGTGGCCTGGGTTCGATCCTCAGCACCACATACAAATAAAGATGTTGGGTCCGCCGAAAACTAAAAAATAAATATTAAAATTCTCTCTCTCTCTCTTTAAAAAAAATAAATAAAAAATAAAAATAAATAAAAAATAAAAAGGGCTGGGGATGTGGCTCAGTGGTTAAGCACCCCTGGGTTCAGTCCCCGGTAAGGAAGGAAGGAAGGAAGGAAGGAAGGAAGGGAGGGATGAGGGAAGGAAGGGAGGGAGAACGCAGAATGACTCAACTTTGTTGCTTTTCAGATTTGAGACCCTAGTATATATGTGCCAGGCTCTATAGACAATCTTGTCTAATCACTGTGTCCCCAAAATATATACAGACATTCTTTGACTTACAATGGGGTTTCATCCTGATTAACCCACCATAAATTGAAAACATTGTAAGTGAGAGAGTGTCATATAGCATATCACCAGCCTAGGAAAAGATCAAAATTCCATTGGGGTTAGTACTGAATGCATATTGCTTTCACATCATCATAAAATTGAAAATTCTGAATCAGGGATTGTCTCTCATAGTCTCATGACTATGATTCAAGATAGAACCAAGGAGAGGCCTGTTTAGAGAACAAAGAAGAAAATGTCATGGGCTTCAGAGGAGGCAGAAAGCCATCAGGTAGGGAAGTAAGTGAGGGTTTGTGAAGGGGATGGCATCAGGGTAGTCTTTAAAGGATAGACTGTCATCAGCTCCAGGTTGGCAAAGTTGCTCACAGGTAGTGGTAAGAAACTCTACAGGTGTGGATGTGAGGAGCTGTGGCCAAGAGCTAAGGTAAATACAGTGGCACAATGTCCCTTAGTCTGATTGGAAACAAATAGGAATTAAAGTGAGGTAAACTGGGAGAAAAGGATGATAATTCTAATGACAGCCTGCACCTGTAACATAGATAATTTGTCTGATGCCAGACACTATATGAAGTGCTCTATATGCAGAAACTCTTTCAATCTGGAAAAGTGAGTCGGGTCTACTTTTGTTGATGGTCCTTCCTAAGAGAGCTGGTTTATCAGAGGCTTTGATGAAACACTCAAGAAGACAGAAAGCAGGGAGAACACTCAAGAGACTGAGAGTCATTCTCTGCAAGAAATGACAGGGACCTGAATTGTTCCAGCATGAACATAAGTGAAAACACAATTGGGTGGGTTGGAATCCATTCATTTTAAACTCTATAGCAGTCTCTGCAAACTCATGTATTTTTTAATTCAATACAGTAAAGTAGAATCTAGGTGACCTTTCTTTTGTCCTGGGTTCTTCACTGAGATGTGGGAACTGAGCTTCTATAAGCCTAAGCATTGCCACATTATCCGAGATGGAAACCTGAAGGCCACAGCTTCTTCCTTCTCTTTCATGCTCTGCAATGAGATTGTTGACTTCCTATCATGGACTAAGGCATCTCCGAAAAGCTTGTATTCCTTGAATGTTCTGTTTTAAGCTCCTGTGAAATACTAATCCCAGTATTAACCATCTTGCAGATTCCATCGTGATTGGATTTTGGGTTGGCCTTGCAGTCTTCGTGATTTTCATGTTTTTTGTGCTGACCTTGCTGACCAAGACAGGCGCCCCACACCAAGAGTAAGTCTGTAATGTCCGTTCACTCCAGAGGGACCTAAAGAAGCAGAATCTAGTACCATGCTGGGTTTGCTTCCAGGGAGTGTAAGAAGGGGGTTGGCTATGGACTTTCTACTATGAGGTGGGATCCCACTTTCCTCTGGCTGTGGCCTCTGCCCTCTCCTTTGCATTCTTACCATTGGTCTTTGTTGACTGAACACAATCAATAACCGGAGGCTTCTTCAAAGGCCAGTTTCCCAGAGCACAGAGAAGGATGATGAAGAGAGTAGAGGGAGTCCTGGGAGAGTAAATGGAAGTATTTTCACACAAATCCTAACATGTTTATATTTGGTGTCTATTCCTCACTGCCTGGCAGCAACACTCTTTTATGATTGTGTCTTGTCACAGAGTTTTTGGCAAGTTCTTTATTCTTCAGCCTGCACTGGAATTGTAATAAATGCCAGGGCAAAAGGAACAATTCTGCCTATCCCTCAGCTATCCCTAGACACCAGGGGCTGGAAAAATCCTCTACACAACAAACATTTTAAATGAAAGGAAAATAATCAGTGAGGAATAGAGACAGAGCATGTCTCCACCCTCAGCCTCCTGGGTTGGTGTTCTCCAAGGTGGCACACACCCCTTCCTCTCGCTGCTTATCATTGGTCGGAACTAGCCATGCCCACCTGACTGCCCCTGGTAGGGTGGTCTTGCTTTGTGTTTTAAAGAGAAGAAAATCAGGTATATGGGACCACAGGGTCCTCAGAGCAGACCTCAGAGTGGGAAAGACTGTTAGAAACCTGACTGTTAAGCTTTTAAGCCTAAGAAACAGCTTTGATTAGGATCAGTTTTCCTTTGGAATAATTTCTGTTGTGAAAGGAAAAAAAAAAAAAGCTCTCATCTGGATACTTTATATAGACAGAGAGTATAAAGAACCAGTCCTCTTGCTTTTCAGCTGAGGAGTCATTTGCTCTGAATTCTGAATGCTGCCTTGTTAGAGCATTATCGCTCCATTATCATAAATCTGCCAGGTAGAGAGTGATGGGAAAGGCCTGGATTACATTTTGATGTGGAATATTTTGGAGTTCTTAAAAATTTATCAAGCCTTAACCATTGTATATCTCAAATACCCTCCTTTTGTAGCCTTTGCAATGTGCCCCTCATCTAGGTAGGGGTATTATTAATTTAGGGGTGAGTACAGGATTGCTCCTTACTTTTTAAAAATGGGAATCACATTTTATCTCAAATTGTCATTTACTTGAATACAGTGCTCCCTTAAAGGATGGGTATATCAAACTAGAGCTAATAGCAAGAAAATGTCAGTGGTCAAAAGCTTCGATAATGGTCTTGGCCCTAAGACTAGCTGGTAAAGTGTATATGTAGTGAGTGGTTGTCCCAGAAGTCCTGATATCCCAAGATGTCTACCACTGTGAACAGGTAGAAAGTCTGATGCCTTTATATACCTGGCTCCATCTGTAAGCCTTTGTTCAGGAGTGGCTTTTAATTCCCTATCAATTAAGCAGTGTTTACTGAGTGCACAGCTACAGCTTGCTCAGGGCTATGCTGAGGGTAGTTCTAAGGTGGTAGAATCTTCCCTGTTCTGTATAGACTGACATATCCCTGGTAAGTTAGCACTCCATGAAAGCAACCAAAACCCCTTTTATACAACAGTTCATTCAGCACCTCTCTTAGGGATTATGACATAGCCTAAAGCACTAACTACAGACTTTGGCTCCATAAATTTTGATAGTTATTATTACTTTCTCACAGAAAGTGTTATTCTTAGTAGGTCTCTGTTTAGCTTGCATGTCTTCCAGGAAATACCAGGTGTTCCAATGCTGATTTGCATTTGATTTTCATGAGTGGGTGGAATAGTCCTCAGCATGAAAAGACTCAGCATTAGCAGCAAGCACTTTATCCATAAACACCCTTATAAATCTGGACGATCCCTAGGGAAATAACTCAGAACATTACCTGTGTTGTCCCTCTGCAGATGGGGCTAAGGGCAGTCTATCCTCCTCATTTTACTGGTCTTTCCATCACAGAAAGACAAACTGGGGGTTTGCTGTGCCTTTCATAGAAGTCAGGGCTTTGGGCAAACCCACAGATATTGTTGCAGGAGACAGATGAGGCAAAACACCAAATAGGAACAGGATGCAGGCTTATTTAGCTATAGCCAGGTTCGGAGGGCAAAGCTATTGCTGTAACCAATCAATCCCCCTGAATTCCGAGTTCAGGTAGTTTCAGAACTTTATTCCCAGTGTATAAGGGGAGGGACTCAGAAGTTCACAGTCTGCAGAGGTTCACATAAAAGCAGCTTTTTCTTTCACTATTCTGAGCAAGTTAACCCATCAAGGACAGTGTCTGAGAAGGGGAGAGCTTCTTCTCCCCTTTCTTCCCTCCCCTTGTCAGCTGTTACCATGGAGCCTAATTGGTAACTTTTCTTGTCTTAGAAATGTAGACATCTCTGTGAAGCCCCAGCTCAAGGCTAGAGGCCTTGTTAAAGGATCTGTCTTTTTTTTTTTTTTAATTACACTTTGCATTTGCAAACACACTTCTCAAACTACTATACTGGATAAATACTTGTGACAAACTAGTAAGCGGGCATTTAGCACCTGGAGTGCTGATTTTTTCCAGGCCAGGGCCAAGTAAAATAGAACAACAGGAAAATAGAAAATTTACTACATTGAACTCTTTTGTAGAGACTCTTTAGCTGATAGTCCTAAAATCAATTATGGTGAAGATTTCTGGAGAAACTTAGTTAAGATTTTTCTGTGGAGAAGGGAGTGCCACTACAATACAGCTATTCAGTTCACAATCTTTCCTAAAGCATGGATTGAGGTCTAAATACTACAAGGTGCTTGAAGGATACAAAGATGAGCCTAATATGCATGTCACTATATAGGAGAGAAAAGACCATATACATAGCTCTGACTCAAGACAGAAAATAAGGCATTCTGTGAGAGAAGGTCAGGAAAGTATGGCAGGAACACAGAGGATGGACATATTCCTTCCTGTTGAGAGATCAGAGTCTCCATGGAGGCAGGGACATTGGAGTTGAATCCTGAAGAAGGAATTTGATTTTGACAAAGGAGTGGGTTGGTCTGTTAGGTAGAAGGATAGCACAAGCAGAGGCACACCGAAGGGCCATCAGTTCCCATGTGACTGGACCTTAGGGTTAGCTAGGGACTGGTAGAAGTAGACAAGGGGATAAGAGAGTGGGAAGTCAGGAATATCAGGCAAAAGAGATTGGGGAGTTGATGAAAGTTTGTGTGTGGGAAGGCAGGCCAAGGAGAGTAATGGCAATCACTATGCAGATACTAGAGGATTTAATGGATCTTCTTGTGAGTTACTTTCTGTTCACGTTTAGAAAATTCCACATGTGCAAAGAATACACAGTGCAGCCCATGGTGAGAAGAAAAGGCCAAGAGTCAGAACAGTGTGAACAGTCTTTGTTCTGGCTGGGGTAGCTCAGTGATCTTGAAGTCAGTAAGTTAAGTCCAAATTGAAAATGTAGAGTACAAATTCACAAAACAAATCAGTAAAAAAATAAATGGATTTAGGTTTCTATCAAAATAAACAGGAGTGGTTTTTAAACCTTAGGAAGATACAGGAGAACTTCCTGTAACACAGTAGTTAGATCTCAATTTCATGACGACATAATATAGAATGGGTAAGTAAAGGAAACTGGCAGAAGTAAAGGTATTGACATTTTTAGTGAGTCTCAATTTTCTAAGAAATATTGTTTATGTGTTTTTCTTTTATTATGCAAAATAGTGGAATTTATGCTGTACTCACACACGCACTTAAGTAATTTGATCAATCCCATTTCCCAGTAATTCTCTATTTCTCTTACCCCCTCTTTCTTCTAATTTGCTTGCTCTATTCAACTGATTTCACTTCTATTATTATTATTTTAATTAGTGCAATATAATTATATGCAAACACAAGATTCATTGTGGTATATTCATACATGGATATAGCATGCTTTGGTAGATTTTGTTCTCCAGTTCTTCCCCATGCCTTCCCCTTCTTCCTTCCTATTTCCTTTCTCTACTCTGATGATCTACTTTCTGTTTCTGAGATCCTCTTTAGCTTCTACAAATGAGAGAAAATATTTGACCTTTGACTTTCTGATCTGGCTTATTTCTCTTAGTATGATATTCTCCATTTCCATCTATTTACTAGCAAATAACATAATTTCATTCTTTTTTTATTGCTAAGTAAAAGGCATCTCTCTCTCTCTCTCTCTCTCTCTCTCTCTCTCTCTCTCTCTCTCTATATATATATATATATATATATATATATATATATATATATATATATCTCTCTTTTTCTTTATCTATTCATTCTGTTAATGGGTATCTGGGATGGTTTTATAGCTTGCCTATTGAGAACTGTGCTACTATAAACACTGGTATGCATACATCAGTGTAGTATGCTGATGTTAGTTCTTTTGGGTAAATACTAAGGTTTGGGATAGCTGAGTCATATGTTGGTTCCATTCTGAGTTTTGGGGGGTCTCACCATACTGCTTTCCAAAGTAGTTGTACTAACTTTTGCAGTTCCATCAACAATGTATATCTTTTCCTCTTCATCCTTTCCAATTGTTATTTGCATACTTGATGATCGACACTCTAACTGAAGAGATGAAATCTCAGTGTAGTTTTTATTTGCATTTCCCTGATTGCTGAGCAACTTTAACATTTTTCATGTATCTGTTGATAGTTTGTATTTCTTCTTTTGAGAAATATCTGTTTTGATCAATTGCCCATTTATTGATTGGGTTATTTGATTTTCTGGTGTTTTGGGGGGTTCTTTATATATTATGGATATTAATCCCCTGCTGGAAAAATAGCTGTCAAAGATCTTCTCTCATTCTGTAATTGCTCTCTTCATGCTTTTAATTATTATCTTTGCTGTAATTTAATACCTTCCCACTTATTGATTCTTGGTTTTATTTCTTAAGTTTTAGGAGTCTTATTGAAGAAGTCAGTGCCTGCACCATAATGTTGGAGTATTGATCC